AGATTTCCCCTAATTTATCCTAAACCAAGACACCTATGTACTTTTAGAATCCCTTCTTGTTATTCTTCACATCCCTTGCTAAGTTCCATTCCAGTTTAGCCTCAGCTTTCCTGACCCCATTCCTACTCATCCAAACCCTGTCCTTGTACTCTCCCCAGGTCACCTGTCCCTGCTCCTACTGGCTGTGCATTTCCTTCTAACTCCTCAGTTTAAGGAACAGATCCTTGCTCAGCCATGCCAGTGACCAGCCTGCCTTGCTCAATTTCCTACAGACTGGGATCGGGAGCTCTTACACTCTGAAGTAAAGTGGTCTTAGGGAGTTGCAAGCTCTGGTCAGCCCCTCTGTCCTTATGGACAGTTACCCAGGTTATCTCATTCACCAACTCCTTAAACAGCTGGAAGTTCTCACTTGCAAAGTTCAGGGTCTTTGCTTCTCACCAGGCTCCCACTCCTTGAGATCACAAACTCAACCAGGGCATGGTTGCTACAGCCCAGGCTGCCTCCAGTCTTAACCTCTTTGATGGGCTCATCTGCAGTGGTGAGCACCAGGTTCAGTAATGCCTCACCTCTGGTTGGTTTATCTAATACCTAGACCAGGAAGTTGTCCTCTACACACCCCAGGAGTCTCCTGGATTGCTTACAGCCATCTGTATTCGTTTCCCAGTCTGGGTCCTTGAAATCTAAAATCCCCCATTAGGATGAGAGCTTGCAAGTGTGATGCTTCTTGTAGCTGAAATAAGAAGGCCTGGTCGACAAGATCCCCCGATCAGTTGGCTTTTAGTAGACTCCCACCACCAGGTGTCCTTTTTTGGTCTGGTTCTTGATTTTTACCCACAGACTCTCAGCCTTTTTAAGCCAATCTTTGGCTTACCAACAGGTCTGTAGTAGGTATCTCCTTCTGTCCTAAGTTACAATATGTATTCTATCCCCATCTTCAAGAGCTGTTGAAACCAGGAGGGGCATTGTTTTTCCTTATCTTCTGTTAATGGGCCCATCAATGCCTTGCCACATGACTCAGAGACAACTCCCTCCTGGAGCCATTTCTGTTTAATGGGCAATCAAGGACCCACTGCATGACTCATTAGAATGATAACAGCCCATTGTGAGATGCTTCGCCCAGGGGGGAGGAGCTAAGCATCCCCACCTGGATATAATCTGGGGTTTGGGGCAGAACAAGCTCTTCTTACCCACTGGTTTCCAGAGGACAAGAGCTACCAGATTTTTTCTACAGGATTACCACTTCAACAAGACCGTTTCATCTGGACTGCTATCGCCACCCTAACTAGCAGGGTGTGAGGTTGTATTCTGACTCTGTCAGTGTTTTTTCTTTTGTATTATTGCATATATTGTGGGGTTTTTTTCCCTTTTCCTAATAAATTGTATTTCTGACTTAAGAGTCTCTCACTGGTTTTGCTTTCAAACCAGAACACCTTCCCATATTGATTCTAGTTTAAAGTTCTCCTGATTAGTCCCATCAGCTTAAGCCCACAGACCCATTTGTCCCATCCAGGATGGGTAGATCCCATCAGGCCCCAGCATACATTGTCTTCAATGGTTTAAAACCCCAAAGTTTGGTACAGGCACCAGTCCTGGAGCCAGGTATTGATATCCTGGGCTTGCCTGATTCTTCCAAAGTCTCCTTCCATTACTGGAAGGATTGAGTAAAACACTACCTGTGCTCCTGAACTTTTTAGGATTCTTCCCTGGGCTCTAAAGTCGCTTTTGATTTACCTTACTTTTTTTTTTTTTTTTTTTTTGGTGACAATTTGTACATTGTTGAAAGAGTAGGAATGGCTAATAGTCTAAAGGTTGAATTAGGCTCTTCAGTCTTGTGGCAACATTCCTAATTCAGGCCTGGGGAGGCAGCAAGCTTCCCTGGAAAGATGGTCTGGTCTGAGAACAGGTGCTTCTGCTCCACACAGGAGGGAATCAATGACCATAACTCGATGTTGTTTCTTCTTGGTGCTGGTCTTAATGCAGGTTTTGTTGCGAGGGCTTGGGCTCTCTGACCTTGACAAAACTGCTTGCACAGGTTCCTCCTCTTTCTCATTATGAGCTTCATTTACTGTACCCATGACTTTGTACCTGTTCTATAAGGGTATGTGAAAGAGTAACTTAGAGGGTAAGGAGGTTACTTTCTCTTTCTGCTCCATGCTGCAACTTTCTTCTACCTTTTTTTATCCCTTGTGATACTGCCTTCCCTCTGGCAGAAAGCAGATCCTGGACCTGCCTCCATAGTGGCCATGTTGAGTTGGCTTCTATACATCATAGATGGCAGAGTATAGCTCCAGTGATGGAGCGTCAATCTCCCTCTTAGACTCTCAAATACTCTTCAGTCTGCTGCTCACCTCCTCCTGAAGCTCAGCCACCAAGAAGAGCAGTTCATCAGTCTGGTCACAGCTCCCACAGTCTTGCTTCCAATCACTTTCCATCTCTAGGAATATCCCTTCAGACATCCCACAGCCAGAAACCTGGGTAGTTGCATCCTTGAATAGGAGCTCTCTCTATGGCTCCATTGGTTTTCCCAGATGCTAGAAGCTCAGGAAAAGCAGAGGACACTGCTTTTTGCCAGGTGGCCATCATGCTGCTGCTGCTGTGTGCCTGCCTACTAGAAATATATATGCTTGTTTGTTGCAGTCAGCTGGACTGATTATTTTTGCCTGCTTAAATCTCCTGTACTGCCTGGTGCAGGCTCTGCCCCTTGCTGTCTCTTTCAGTGGGTCTGGGGTCAGTTGCTTGGGGAACACCCTCTGTTCAAGACAAACTTCTACTTGTCCATATGTATCTCTCGTGGATTTTTAAAAATTATATGAGTAGCACACTAATCCAAAGGTGTGTTTACTCAGAGACTTTTAAAGAAAAATATTGTGGTTTCCTAGATGTTTTCTAGATGCACAGAACATTCACAAGATGGTTGGAAGAACTTTTTAAAAGTCAACATTGAATGTTAATTTATACCTCCACAAGCAAGCATATATCAGTCCTCTTTTCCCTATGAATCATGCACCCTTAATGTTTATGATGAGGCTGTAATTTAACCCTATATGTAATATACAAGAATAACTGTCATCAGGGAACAAATAAGTTTAAACCATATATCTCAAATAGTGACCAGAACATTGAATTAATATATACTGTTACACAAATATTTTTACCCTGTGAAAAAGCAGAAAAGTAAAGTTTAAGAAGGAATATTGGTGTTGTTTTGCACTAATTAGTTTATTTAGTCGTTGTTTTACACTGGGTTTTGTATTTTGCACTGAATAGTATGTTTGTATCCTCATGGGATTCCCCTCTCATATCACATGGTCTTCTCCTCTCCTCTAAGCCCCATTGGTGGTGGTTTCTACCTTGTCTACTCCTCCCCTCACCCTCTCCTCACTTGTATCCCATTGGCTGTGGCCCCTCTCCTCCGCCCCCCTTTCCCGGGCTTAAAATCTCTGGGGAAGAGACCTCTGATCTCTTTTTGCTTCCCTTGGACCTCCCTGGAGTGGTTCCACAATAAAGTGGAATGATCGTCCCAAGAGGAAAGAGCGCCTCTAGTCTTTTACTTTTGTCCTTGTAAGACTGCGAGGGGCCAGGGTCCAAATATCTAGAAACTTCAGTGATAGCATTTTCAAAACTAGATTTGTACATTTAAATTTATCTTTCCAAACTCTGGATTCTCAGAGCACAGATTTCAAAGTCATTACAAGGCAGGCTTAGGGCAAGCAGCTATTGGAGAATTAAACATGATTGAGATCCTTCTCTGCTCAGAGAGCTCTGAGAAAGAAGCTATATATTGGTATATTCAGCTGTTTTAAGCTTTAAATGCATGTAGGAATTAGCATAATGTGTATATTCAATACTTTTTTTAAATCAAAAAGCTAAAAAAATTACTAAAAAAATAAAAACTTCAACAACAATATCTACACTACAATCACAGAATTGTTAGGTTTAGAAGGGACCTCTGGAGGTTATCTAGTCCAAAACTGCCAAGGCAGGGTCATCTAGAGCAGGTTACACAGGAACACATCTGGGCGGGTTTTGAATGTCTTCAGAGAGGAAGACTCCATGCCCTCCCTGGGCAGCCTGTTCCAGTGCTCTGCCATCCTCGATGGAAAGAGGTTCTTCCTCATGTTGAGGTGGAACTCCTTGTGCTTTAGTTTATGGCCATTGCTTCTTGTCCTGTAGCTGGGCACCACTGAACAATCTGGCACCATCCCCTTGGCACCTGCCTTTGAGATATTTATATGCATTAATGAGATCCCCTCTCAGTTTTCTCCAGACTAACCAGGCCCAGCTTCTGCAGTATCTCCATAAGAGAGATGCTCCACACCTCTAATCTAACGTGGGGCCGAGAAAGTAAAAAAAAACCTTTATTAATTACATGTTTGTTGTGCTTGCTCTGTAGTGGGTTAAAGCAGTCAGTAGCCATGTTGCTTAAATTCATAATGTCTCTTGGGGTAGAAGGCTTCATATAGTTCTAGTCTCTAGGCTTTTTTGAGGTTTTAATACCTTTTTAGTCACTAAGATTATTGTCCCTAACACGTAGTTTTTACAGTAAAGGGGCACGGATTAAAATAACTATTGTGCTGGGCTCGGTGATAATGATTTATAGGGCATTTACAAAAATACTAGAGTCTGTTCAAGATATGTATAGTTTATAGTTTCTTCATCCTACCCCGTGTCCCAGTTCCAATAGTATGTTTTGGGGATTTATTAGTAATTGTACCCAGTTTGTTAGAAGAGCAAAAGATGAGGCTTTCCAGCTTTTCCTTTCCTTCTTCTCCTTTGAATCTCTTATGTCACTTTTTAAGCCCCATGCATTTTAAGCATAAACTTCCTCCAAAGTAGATATTTCAAAAACCAAAAAAACTCAGATAAACATTTAGAATTGCTGCTATAAAGACAGAAGGCATCAAACAATTAAACACCTTACCTAGACTATCTGAAAACCCATCTGCTATAAGACTCCTAAAAGTAGAAGAGCAACGAGTGCCGATTGCCACCTCAACAGTACACCGCCAGCAGTACCAAACAAATCAAGATGCCGTAATCCCCATCCACAAATTAATCCATAAGCTAGAAAGCCAAGAAGTAGTCAACAAAACCCATTCACCCTTCAACAGCCCCATTTAGCCTATACATAAATCTAAAAGAGAATAGAGATTAACTGTAGACTACCGTGCATTAAATGAAATTACTCCACCACTAAACGCTGCTGTGCCGGACATGCTATAATTCCAATACGAGCTAGAGTTCAAAACAACAAAGTAATACACCACTACTGATATTACCAATACATTTTTCTCCATTCCTCTGGCAGCAGAATGCAAACCTCAGTTTACCTTCACCTAAAGAAGCATACAATACACCTAAAACCAACTACCCCAAGAGTAGAAACACAACCCCACCATCCACCATAAACTGATCCAGACTACACTAAAAAAGAATGAAGCTCCAGAACATCTACAATATATTAATGACATCATTGTGTAAAGAAAGACAGCAGCAAAAGTGTTTGAAAAAAGAGAAAAAAATCATCCAAATTCTCCTAAAAACCAGCTTCGCCATCAAGAAAAACAAAGTCAAGAGACCTGCTCAAAAAATCCATTTTCTAAGAGTAAAATAGCAAGACAGACAACGTCAGATTCCCACCAATGTCATCAACAAGATCACAGCAATGTCTCCACCATCCAACAAAAAAGAAACACAAGCTTTCCTAGGCACCATAAGTTTTTAGAGAATGCACATTCCTGAGTACAGCCAAATTGTGAGCTCTCTCTACCTAATCACCCACAAGAAAAACACTTTCCACTGAAGCCCTAAACAACAACAAACCTTTGCCCAAATCAAGCAGGAGATCGCTCATACAGTAACCCTTGGCCCAGTCAAGACAAGACCAGATGTGAAGAACGTGCTCTACTCTACAACCAAGAGCCATAGTTTGTCCTAAAGCCTTTAGCAAAAAGTACCTAGTAAGACTCAAGGCCGACCACTAAAATTTTTAAGTCGAAGCTACAGAACATCTAAAGCCAACTATACTCCAACAGAAAAGAACATTTTAACAGCCTATAAAAAAAGTCCAAACCACCTCAAAAGTAATAAGCACTAAAACAAAACTCCTCCTAACACCCTGACTACCAGTGCTGGAGTAGATGTTTAAACAGACAGCAGACAGCAAACAGACAGACAGACAGCAGGACAGAGCTCTCCTTTATTTTAGTTAATTTTAGCTATCTAAGGCAAAGAAGTTCCCTAGACTATGGTTGTTGTTTCCTTTTCTTTAGCAAAAAGTACCTAGTAAGACTCAAGGCCGACCACTAAAATTTTTAAGTCGAAGCTACAGAACATCTAAAGCCAACTATACTCCAACAGAAAAGAACATTTTAACAGCCTATAAAAAAAGTCCAAACCACCTCAAAAGTAATAAGCACTAAAACAAAACTCCTCCTAACACCCTGACTACCAGTGCTGGAGTAGATGTTTAAACAGACAGCAGACAGCAAACAGACAGACAGACAGCAGGACAGAGCTCTCCTTTATTTTAGTTAATTTTAGCTATCTAAGGCAAAGAAGTTCCCTAGACTATGGTTGTTGTTTCCTTTTCTTTTAGACCTGTTTAAACCTGCTCTGGACTGAACACCCAGAAGAGCACCAGCAACTCGCCTGCTGAGCCTGAGCTGCAACATTTCCAATGCCAGAAGGACTGATGAGAGACGGAATAAGCCAAACTGCAACCCAAAAAAGAGATTTTTCTGAATTTATCATCTCTTTTAGAGCAGCAAAAGGTTTTATTGCTTAATATAGTTTAAGTTTTATTGTTTAATAAACAGTTTTTTTCCACTTTTCTCCAAAGAAGTATTTTTTTCCTGAGCCAGTTAGAAGAAAGGCCAATTAAATCTGCTTTTCTAGAAAAACCCCTTTCAGGGTTCTCTCCCAAATTTGCCCTGAACCAAGACAGCCTTGTAGGCTTAAAACCGATATATGAAGAAGTAAGCATCCAATGTTTTAAATGCAAAGATTTGCTATGAAAGTATCTCCTGAATTATAACACTCGTTATAAATATGATGGGATAGAAATGACTCAGGGGAAAAAAACCAGTAGTTTAGAGGACTACTTCCTAGCCCTTGCCACTAGTCTTCCACATTCAGTACAGCCTACCACGCTTGCTGCATTAACAACCCCTGATGTAATTACAAAACAACATTTTCCCTAAACTCTCACTATTATTTCTCTTTTTCACCATGGTACTTTCTGATAGAACATATTGAGGGAAGGAGGGGTGGGTGCATGTAGTTTTGTTGCACCTTTTGAATTGAAAGTTAATTTAGGAGCAATCCTTTTTATCAGATAGCTATCTTATAGCCTGATAATGTGCTGTGTGCCAAAACACTTAATCCAAAAGAATAAAACATATTTCATATGCTAGAACCAAAGACAGAACAAGCATTTTATCAGGAGACAGGAATTTGCTATGATTTTCAGCATGCTATTTGGATAGGAAAAAGTTCCCAAGTAGTGAAATAAAATACAAGTTTTTAACTACTGTAAACAGCTTTAATATAAATTAAATTATTACTTACCAAAATCTACTCTTGTTAGTATGCACTGCATTGGATGGTCAGTTGTATGCCTTGTTGTTGTTGCACCACTCTCATAACAAGTTGCACACAAATCGTAATCGTAGCAAATTAAACACTTGTATCTGCGACCTCGAAAATTTCCTTTTAAACATGCATCACAGCTGACACCTGTGAACAAAGAAAATTGCTTGAAAACAACAATAATTTCACATTGGCCTAATGATACAGATTTGTTGCTATAGCTCCCAACAACGAAAGGAATTCAACCAAGAAGCTTTTATGGAGCTGATGTACAATAAGACTCAATTTTAAGCATATTTATATCTTTAAAAAGGCAGTAATCATCCAAAGTGAAAGTTAAAGTAAAATAAAATCCAGTCAAGCACTCAAAATGGTAATTTGTTAGGATATAAATTCTTCTTAATCACTTTTTTCCACTGTTCGAAAGCTTGGTTCAAAACATTCTCAATGTTAAATAGTATAGTTTGCGAAAACAACAAAGTCCACAGCAGACCATCCCACAAGTCACACAAAACCACACACCACCACCAACACATAACACCACCCCTCCCTGGCTTTTCTGTTTATTTTTATAGTTTCTAATAATTAAATTCTGAAGAATACCAGAACCATTTTTCACAACATAAACATATCCAAGAGCAGAAATTTAGGTCTTCTATTTTGAAGTACAGAATAACTTTGAATATATCTTAATTTTATGTTGCATCATCTCTTCAGCTTCTTCCTTTTGGAAGTTCAAACTTTGTACTGTAAATCAATCAGTCACACTGCCTGGGTCAGGAGAAACCTTCATTATCTTCTAAAGGTTTTGGCAATTTTCTCTGTGTCATTTCGGTACTCTGCTGTTAATTTAGATAAGGGCATCATCATCTTTTCATCTGTCAAGGCCCACAAGAACTTCCATCACTGCAGTAGTAAATTAAAGGCCTTCATGATAATATCTAGTGTGTACAACACATGCAATATTTTGATTGAAGTCCTCCTTTAGGATCAATTTAAACAAGGTTTTCATAGTTCAGTGCAAATGCAGAAAATTTCATAGAAACAATGTTATTGAAAGAAAGCACTGACATTGACTCCAAGAGGATTAGTAGCGGAAGATCATCACGATCTCAAAACTGCAAATATCCCAATGGTAATTTCCTAATTATAAACTCTATTATCAGATAAAAATCTAGTATTAACACAACTCACCACTACTGCTTGTGATGTCAGGTCCAGGGAGAAAAGTTAAATTACATAAAAAGAATTCTCACAACATCTCTCTAAGCTAGTATTTCTTCATATCATTCTAAAATACCATGTTTTCATTTTGATAACCTGACAGCAAGTGGCATAACACACTACTTTCATACCCTTTTATGTAACAGGAGAGAAAAGCATCAAGAAAAAAAAAAAAAGCATCAGTTCTGTTTTTTAAAATCCATATACTACATCAATTAAAATTACATAGGATTAATTAAAATTTTAGAAGTTTACCCCTCTACACCTTAAAAACAAAAGAAACCCCAAACCCCAGAACACTGAAAGATAAAAAAATGCCAAAGTGAATTTAATGCATCCTAATTAATCTCTGGTTTTGAGGAAAAACACTCAGGAGGGGTTCAATTATAAGCAGGGAACAAAAAGAGCAATCCAATAAACAAGTTGTGAAAAGAATTCACCTTTTTCATGAAGTTCTGATTTACATGATGTGACAATGACTTTTTAAAAGCTTTTAAAATTATTTCCTATTCAGTGGAAACAGTTTCCCTGCACCTTCTTCAGAATGGTCTCATGGAAATGATCAGAAAAGAAAAACAACCTGTCTCATTTTTAAATAAAGTTTTTGATGCATTTTACATTAGAAAATAGCAAGGAGACTTTTTCAGTTTTTCTACTGTTAATTGCCAATACACAACTACATATGTGGACTGATAAACAGACCCAAATAAAGACATTTATACCAGTGTACCCTCTCTTCACTATCAGAATAAATATGGCTACCAGGTTTTGTTATAAAACTTGCTGCTTGTTGTCCTGGGTAACCCAAAATGTTATTATATTCCATTTCTATCTGTGCGCAAAAATTGTTACTGTCTCTTTAAGACCCTGTGGCCAGAAAGAGACTCGCGGGGCAAGCAAGGGGTCCCTTTTTTAAAGTCGGGTTGCCCAAGCAGACCTTTTTTTTTTTTACCCCGTGGCATTTGCTCAACGCGGAGACATTCATTTGGGTTTGTTGGTGTTTTGGGTTTTTTTGGGTTTGTTTTGGTTTGGGTTTTTTTTGTTTGTTTTTTGGGTTTTGGGGTTTTTTTGTTTGTTTGTTTGTTTGTTTGTTTTTGGGTTTTTTTGAGAGCATGTGTTTCTTGGTCTTGAACTGCCTAGGGGCAAATTCTGGGAGTGCCTGCACTCGAGGCCGGAGCCGAGTGGAGCGGAGCGCCTACTCCTCCAGTCTGAGTCACCCCAGCCTGCCAGCCAACTGCCCTACTGAGAGCAGGGCAAAGTCCCTCCACGAGTTCTAGCCCTTAACTGAGTGCCAGCCATCTGAGTATGCCAACGGCATTCGCTGACGGAGTTGCCTCCACCGGATGGCAAGGGCGGAAGGGGGGGGCTCGCGCCATTTTCCCCTTTGTCTCTTGAGCCATGCGCTCGGCTGCAAAACACCACATCTTGGGGGTGCGGGGGTGGTTGCTCCTGCAATCTAAGTTTCTCTTTTGATGCCTATATAACTTAGGTCAAAGTTACAAGGTGCTTATATAGCTCGAGTTATAAGATATCAATATAACCTGATATCAATATAAGCTGAATCATAATTTCCTATACTTATATAACCCGAAACACAACTTTTTATACCTATTATTATAAATAACAAATATACTTATTGGCTTCCACATTTATGTATTAACTTTTGTTTTGCAAGTTATTATTGATCACAAAAATCGTGATATAGTAAAATTTGTAATTACTGCTTTTGATATAGTATAATCTGTCAGTTTATGCATGCACCATATAGCTTTTATAAATAGTAGTGTAATATATACTATTTTAGACCATTGCATAATAGAGACTGTAAAATGTTGAAATGCTTTTTTGTGTAACTAACTCAGAAAATAGTGTAAAATAATTAGGTGATTTTCCATATTTGGGGACTATCTTATCTGAAAGACAAGACAGTAAACAGAAACCAGAGCACCGAAAAAAAGGAGAATTTATTAACCTTCATTATCAGGGAGTGAAAATACAACAGGATGGAACCACAAGAAGAAATAAAATATATTCGTTTAATCTACAAGATAGCATGAAGACAAGTCAAAAGGTAAAACCTGTTGGAACCCTGGATGCTGAGAGTTTTAGACTTTCTGTGCTGAAAGGCACAGACCCTCAAGAGAACACTACATTTGACCTGAGGCCATGGAAAAGGCTTCCAAAATTGAATGATAGAACTGGGATTATGGGTGTGTAGTTTGAATAGAAGTGTATAATATCACATGGTGGAAAACTTAGAGTTTACGGTTGTTATAGATAGATAATGAGATGACTGGCTCTTGCAATTAAGGGGGCTGACGCAACCCCCCCAGGAGTATAAAAGACTGAGCATCCATCTTGAAGACCAGCCAGCCACGTGGTAGGCAGCCACGTGGGCAGCTTCCAGGCCTGCTTTTCCTTATTTAGTCCTTTTGTTGTATTTTTGTTAAGGTTTAATAAACACTTTAAATTTTTTAAGTGATCAGTTGTTTCTCACAATGTTTTGGAATAGAGTAATATATATAAAGCTAAGATGGAGGTTTTTGGGGTGGTGGCTGATTGTTCTTCTTCACGGGTTTAGGTGGTATTTTGTAATTGGACAGAAAAGTCTGCATTGTGGGACACAAGTGATTAGTTATTAGGTTAAAAGTAAAAAAAATTTAGGTCTCATTTCTTAATTGAATAGTTTTTCCTTAAAAGACCTTGTAGAGATAGATATGGGACCATTTTTGTAGCTTGTTAGTAAAATAATGTAGAACTCACAGCTTGTAAGACTGTGATATAGATAAGAAATAATAAACATCTGAGTGTGAACATGAAATACCATCTCGAGCACTTTCAATCCTGACCCTGACAGAGACAGGAAAGAAGCAAAAGAACATCTAAACTCAAAAGAATGTTTGAATATGTATAAACTCATGAATATACATGTACTCCCTGTAATATAACAATATATAGAGAACACAGTTTAAGTTAAGGCCTGCTTTTGGCAAATAGCCAAGCACCCCAGCACTAGATTTTATCCCTTTTGTTATGAATAAAAAGTTATCTATTTTTGTTTAAGGTTGCAGAGTTAAAACCGGTTGGACCAGTTGCTGTTAAGTTAGCTTCATTGTTAAGAGTTCTTCTTCAATTGCCTGTTAATGGTTGGTGATTAGCCATTGTCCCCCTGGTGCTTACCAGGGAGCGACACTGGGACC